AAAAATCAGCATTATTTGAGCTACATGTTTAAACAGTTCTACTCTTGAAAGTAACAGAATCAACCTAATGCCATCACATCTATGTCAGTAAAGTACAGAACTATACATTGCAAATTCTACTTTATAAAAATCTTAAAAAGTTAATAATGTTTAGACAAAGTTTCATAGTTTTCATAATTTTGTTATTTCTTTTCCCTATTAAATAATTATTTCCTATCTCATTTTATTGCTTCACCATCACATGTAAATTACTTTATAGCTCATGGATAAAAAAAGATATGATTATCATAATCTACTACTGATTTTCAAGAAACATAACAGATAAAACAAAAAAAGAAAATGAGTTTTAAAAGCAAGGCCAAAGTTTAATGTATTATTTAGGAGCTTCTGAAAATAGGGTAATAATAACCTATCCACTGCACGGATTGCAGAAGCTACATATTCTTCCCCTCTATATACGTTTGCAGCCCATTTTCAGCTTCTCCCAATCAGTAAGTGAGTCTGTTTCTCTATCCTTGAATCTGGACATGGCCATGTGACTTTCCACGACCAATGAGACATTAGCAATTGCTGTGCAACTAGAGACTTATAAAATATCTTCACATATTGGGCCAGCGCTCATGTGGAAGCCTGAGAACATCCCAAGGTACCCTACTGGATAATTACAGACTTGTGGCCTAGTTACTCAGCATATAATCTGCCAACTGCCAGGCATATGAGAGAGGCCATCCTGGATCATCCAGCCATCATCTCACCCACCAGCTTGTTACAGAAATTGAAGAGCTAACACAGACCAGAAGAACTACATAGCTAGCCCATAAATAGTAGAATAAATAAGCAGTTATTTTAAGTCACCGAATTCTGGAATGGTTTGTTTTGCAACCAAAGGTAATTGATATCAACTAATCTTTGAAGCCTTAGGCTATGAATTTAAAAATATAAATTTAATTTAATTTAAACTGATATTCAGTAAAGTATTAAAGCAAACTAAATATGGCATGAAAAGGACTTCATACTTCTATATTTGAGTCCCTGTGAATGAACTGCAGCCTAAATTAATAGGTAGAGAAGATTAAAAACCTTATTTAGGAGTATGCACCTGTAACAATAGCTGAGTCTTCTCCAATCCCAGTGGCCATATTTCAACCATTCATACACTCCTGAGTGTTCAAATGGTGTTCAAATAAGGCAAAGACCAACCTGTAATCAGTGCAGTTATGTACCTCACTTCCAATTTCAGCATGTCGTTTTCCTCTTTTTGTCTATAAATCTTCCACCACGTGGCTGTGCTGGAGTCTCTTTGAATCTGCTGTGATTCTGTCGGCTGCCCAATTTGTGAATTGTTCATTGCTCAATTAAACCCCCTTAAAATTAATTCAGATAAAGTTTCTCTTTTAACAACAGAAATAACTCTGGTCAAGAATTAGGAACTCTTGGGAGGCTAAGGCGGGTGGATCAAAAGATCGAGACCATCCTGGTCAACATGGTGAAACCCTGTCTCTACTAAAAATACAAAAAAATTAGCTGGGCATGGTGGCACGTGCCTGTAATTCCATTCAGGAGGCTGAGGCAGGAGAATTGCCTGAGCCCAGGAGGCGGAGGTTGCGGTGAGCCGAGATCGTGCCATTGCACTCCAGCCCGGGTAACAAGAGCGAAACTCCGTCTCAAAAAAATAAAAAATAAAAAAAGAATTAGGAACTCAGTATCCCCAGCCTCCCTCACCTATACAGATCTTACTTGGCATTCATCTAATATTGTTATGCTAATTCCTATTTGAATTACTATCCCCAAGTCCACCCAGAATCTCTATCTTGTGATAGGTGTGTCAGTTTGCCTGGCTCCTATCCACCCTTCCTTCTCTCCATTCCTAATCAGCCTCACTAACTATAATAATTTCAGAGCCAACCACAGGTTTCTAGTAAAGTTCAAGTTTTATAACAAACATTGGCTATAACTCTCTTTCACAAGGACATAACTCAGCACTTTCTGATTCTGCAAACAGAAACCTGGTTAGATCTTCTAAAATGACATATTGGGGCAGTCTCCTAAGCCTGAACACCTATGCAGAAAATTTTTCAGCTTCCTGTCTAGTTATAGTTATAATTCTCAAGATAGAACTATGCCATCCCAAAATATGCCTCATTGGCATAGGCTTATTCTGAGTTGAAAGCAATTGAGAAACGACAGACATAGGAAAAGCTCATCCATCTAAAGAATAGCAGGGCATAAATTTCCCTTCATGAAGGTGTCCCCCTCTCTTAGTCCTGAAAGGAAAACCTTTATCACCAGAGAAGAAGAAAGCACCAAGATGAATCCACACAAACAAAATCTTACAAAAATAACCATTATCTTTGATTAATTTATCTTCCCATAATTCACAGCCTGTAAAATCCCCAACCCCTTTTCTTTGCCTAGTGAGGTCTCCACAACTTCTCATGCTTTGTTAAAAGGGCATATAACTCTTCCAGGTCTAATTTCTTCCTCAGGTCTTTACTCCAGGTCCTCACTGGAGTAAAATGAATGACTCCTTTTACATGTAAAAATAACATCGAATAAAATTTGTATGCTTTTTCTCTTATTAACCTTTCTTTTGTCAGTTTAATTCACAGATCCCAGTCACAGAAGCTAAAAGAATAGAGGAAGTAATTTTTCTTCTCTACGTCTACCACAGGACATCTTTTGAGACAGACTCAGAAAATTTTCAATTCATGGGAGCCAGACTGAAACTAACTTATAGATTACAACGAAATGAAGGGGAGATTTCATATTTTCTTGTCCTTTTCACTAATCATGACTGACGGCAACTTCTACTCTTCATAATCAATGACTATGTAACCCTTTATCTTCCTTTGGACCATAAAAATTAACCTATGCCTCCCATCTTGCTTACTCCCTATAGACAACTTACATTTTTTATTTTTCCCCCTTTTCTATCTTAGCAATAAATAATAAAACAATGCTCCATTAGACCTTTTCAATAGTTGTAATTATCTCAATCTTACAATTGATTTAGCTAATAAATGTAGATAATGAAAGTAACCTTTTCTGTTTTATGAAAACTGAAACTTAAGAATCTAAAATTCTTACATTTTGAGAATGAATGTCTGCATTCTATAAGCAACTTAAAAATATGTGCATTCTAAAAGCTGACTTCTTAACCTTTTAAGTAAAAAAAAAAAAAAGAAAAACAACATAATCAAACATGTTTTGAAACACTCCTAAAAAATAAGGAAATAGCCCTTGTAAAGAAGAGAGAAAGACATTTCCAGTGAAATATAATTATAACTTAAAAGTGAAGTATTGTTACCAGGAGTCTTGAAAAAGCAATCTAAAAATATTATAAAGCTATTATTTACAAGTTTGAATCCCAATTGCAAACATGGGGATTATATCTCATTGTAATTTGTTGACAGTATCAAGCTGGAGATTAAATAAAGGTCAATGTCTATAAATAAGAGAAAACAAAGACAGATAGAAAGCAACTTTCATGTAATTCAATATGGTTGCTAATCCAATTTAAATTCCAAATATGCATATCTATGAGATTTGACCAATTAATTACTAAAGGTATCTATTTTAATATTTAAAAGTGATTATCTTGAAAGTTATTTATATTTACTTTATTAAAAATTAAATGTTTTAGATAGAATAGTAGAGAGAAGAATATGACTTGACAAACTTTAACATTATGCTTCATATTTTTAAGAACAAACTTACAGCTATTGTTGAAAATATATAATTCTCTCAATATCATTTCTCTTTCTCTCCTCTTTTATCTCTCCAGAGAAAGCAAGATGTTTATGGTGTATAATTTTTAATGTGCTTAATTTTTAAATTTTGAACTAATTTTAGGCTTACAGAAGAGTCTCAAAAATCAGTACAGGGAGTTGCCTTCTATTTTCAACAAAAATGTCTCACATAATTGACTATATACTTATAAAACGTTGTTAAAATTTAAAAGTATTACTATGTTATTTCAAAAACAATATCTTGTATTCTTTACATAGTTTTCAATATCACATCAACACTTTATATAATTTGACAACACTTTTATTGTGTTACACCATTATTTCTAATCAAATTGTGTTTAAGATAACTATGTAAACTGATGTACACTAGTACTTTTTAAAAAGTACTCCATAATATACCATTATTCTCTCTAAATTGTGAATTGCTGGGTGAAAGTATTCGTGCCATTTCAAAATTTTTAAATATTACAAATAGCTTTTCAGAATACTTGTATAAAACTGTCATTTTCATCAATAATGCATGAAAGTCTGGTTTCTCCTCATTACAAAAGTTTTAAAAACTTTTGCTGAGTTATGGGTGTAAAATCTCATTGTTTCATTATAAATTTTCCTTATGGTTGGAGAGATTGACTATATTTTAGTATAATTATGATTCTTTTCTGTCTCCTAGGATAACTTGTATATATTTATTTTCATCTCTGTAGTGGTACGTTATAAACTTCAGTTGTAACCCTGTGTTGCTTTTAAGGATTAGAACTATACACCACTAGTGTTTTGTTTTGTCTTTTAAATTTCTTCGTAGATTCTGCTGCAAACAGTTTTCAATTACCATGAGATAAAATATACCAAACGTATACTTCCTGATTTGTTTTTGTATATAATTTGTGAAATTTGTTCTTACCCTGAATTTACAATTATATATTCTTTGATATTAAAAAGCTGATATTTACATTATTAAAATACTTCAAATTTATTTTTGAATAGAGTTTTTAGTTGGAGATAACATTTTGTTGCATTTTTTGCATATAAATTTTTCTAGCATAATTCATTAAATGTCATTCATTATTTTTTAATTTACTTATAATGCCAATTTGGCAATGTATAACCAGTTTACATACAAGTTATATATATATATATATATATATATATATATATATATATATATATCTGCTTCTGAGCCCTCTGTTTTTTATCATCTAACTTTCTTATATAAAAAGAAGCTGATTTTATAATTATTAATGCCAAACAAGTTTTTAAATCAACTAAAAATTTATTTAATTAGGAATAAACTTACAATCACATTTGTCTACAACCACAGTAAGTAAGTACATGAATATTGTCAGGTTTCTTGCTGTGGTTCCTGATGGTCAGTAGCAGGCTCATTTGAAGTGAGAGTCAACCCTGATGGGGACTCAAGATCAGTCAAAATTGCTTTAGGGAAGAAAACAAATACTGTTAGCTTTCTTGCTGTGGTTCCAGATGTTTAGTAGCAGGCTTATCTAAAGGCAGAGTCAACCCTGATGGGGACTCAAGATCAATCACACTATTTTGGAGGAGAACACAAACACTGTCAGCTTTCTTGCTGTGGTCCTGGATGTTCAGTAGTAGGCTCACTTGAAGGCCGAGTCAACCCTGATGTGGACTCAAGATCAGTCACAACTACTTTGGAGAACACGAATAGTGTCAGCTTTCTTGCTGTGGTGCCAGATGTTCAGTGGCAAGCTCACTTGAAGGTGGGGTCAACCCTGAAGGGGACTCGAGATCAGTCACAACTACTTTAAAGGAGAACACAAATACCATCAGCTTTCTTGCTGTGGTCCCGATGTTCAGTAGTAGGCTCACTTGAAGTCCGAGTCAACCCTGATGTGGACTCAAAATCAGTCACAACTACTTTGGAGGAGAACACAAATAGTGTCAGCATTCTTGCTGTGGTGCCAGATGTTCAGTGGCAGGCTCATTTGAAGGCTAAATCAACCCTGAAGGGGACTGAAGATCAGTCACAACTATTTCAGAGGAGAAGACAAATACTGTCATCTTTCTTGTTGTAGTGCCGGATATTCCGTGGCAGGCTCACTTGAAGGCTGAGTCAATACTGATGGGGACTCAAGATCAGTCACACCTATTTTGGAGAACACAAATAGTGTCAGCTTTCTTGCTGTGGTGCCAATGTTCAGTGGCAGGCCAAGGTGAAGGCAGAGTCAACCCTGATGTAGTCTCAAGATCAGTCACAACTATTTCAGAGGAGAAGACAAATACTGTCAGCTTTCTTGCTGTAGTGCCAGGTATTCAGTGGCAGGCTCACTTGAAGGCTGAGTCAACCCTGATGGGGACTCGAGATCAGTCACAACTACTTTGGAGGAGAACACAAATAGTGTCAGCTTTCTTGCTGTGGTGCCAGATGTTCAGTGGCAGGCTCATTTGAAGGCTAAATCAACCCTGAAGGGGACTCAAGATCAGTCACAACTATTTTGAAGGAGAACACAAATACTGTCATCTTTCTTCCTGTGGTGCCAGATATTCAGTGGCAGGCTCACTTGAAGGCTGAGTCAACCCTGATGGGGACTCAAGATCAGTCACAACTACTTTAAAAGGGAACACAAATACTGTCAGCTTTCTTGCTGTGGTGCCAATGTTCAGTGGCAGGCTAAGAGGAAGGCAGAGTCAACCCTGATGGGGACTCAAGATCAGTCACAACTATTTCAGAGGAGAACACAAATACTGTCAGCTTTCTTGCTGTGGTGCCAATGTTCAGTGGCAGGCTAAGGGGAAGGCAGAGTCAGCCCTGACGGGGACTCAAGATCAGTCACAACTATTTTGGAGGAGAACACAAATACTGTCAGGTTTTTTGTTGTGGTGCTGGATATGCAGTAGCAGGCTCAGTTGAAGGTGGAGTCAACCCTTATGGGGACTTGAGAACAGTTAAAATTATGTTGGAGAAGGACACAAATATTGTCAGCTTTCTTGTTGTGGTGCTGGATGTTCAATGGGAGGCCCAGTAGAAACCAGAGACAACCCTGACGGAGACTCAAGATCAGTCACAGCGACTTCAGTGGAGAACACAAATACTGTCAGCTTCCTTGCTATGGCGCCGGATGTTCAGTGGCAGGCTCACTTGAAGGCAGAGTCAACCCTGACTGGAACTTGAGGTCAGTCACAACAGCTTTGGAGGAGAACACAAACAGTGTCAGCTTTCTTGCTGTGCTGCCAATATTTGGTGGTGGGCTCACTTGAAGCCTTAGTCAACCCTGACGGGGACTCAAGATCAGTCACAACTAATTTGGAGTAGACCACAAATATTGTCAGCTTTCTTGCTGTGGTGCTGGATGTTCAGTGGCAGGCACACTTTAAGTGGAGTCAACCCTGATGGGGACTCAAGATCAGTCACAACTACTTCTGAGGAGAATACAAATACTTTCAGCGTTCTTGCTGTGGTGCTGGTTACTCAGTGGCAGGCTCACTTGAAGGCTGAGTCAACCCGGATGGGGACTGGAGATCAGTCACAACTACTTCTGAGGAGAACACAAATATTGTTAGGTTTCTTGTTGTGGTCCCAGATGTTCAATAGCAGGCTCAGTTGAAGGTGGAGTCAACCTTGATAGGGACTGGAGATCAGTCAAAATTATGCTGGAGGAGAACATAAATACTGTCAGCTTTCCTGCTCTGGTGCCAGATGTTCAGTGGCAGGCTCACTAGAAGGTGGAGTCAACCCTGATGGGGACTCAATATTAGTCCCAACCTCTTTGTAGGAGAACACAAATACTGTCAGCTTTCTGGCTGTGGTGCCAGATGTTCAGTGGCAGGATCACTTCAAGGCAGAGTCAACCCGGAAGGGGACTCAAGATCAGCCTAAATTACTTTGGAAGAGAATCAAGTACTGTCAGGATTTTTGCTGTCGTGTTGGATGTTCATTAACAGGCTCATTTGAAGGCAGAATCAATTCTGAGGAAAGTGGAGATCAATCTGAATTATTTTTGTTCAGTTGCAGGGTCATTAGAAGATGGAATCAACCCTGCAAGGATCTCACTTCTCCCTTCAGTACTTGGGGGTAGGAAGGAAAAATCCAGGTCTTGGTGGAAGGTAAGGAGGAAATGGCCTGGGTGGATAGGCATTCCTCATTGCAAACGGAGCATATGGTGGACCTGCAAAATTTCTTGGTGGAAAATCATGTGGAGAAACTCCCAACCCAATTCCTGGAGGAGGTGGGGGGCAAGGAGGCCCTCTTCTCATATCAGTAACATGTGGGTAATGCTTTCTGCCAAATCCTGTATTTGGAACATCATGTGCAGAAGGATCTTTGTGTAAAAATTTGAATTTAAACTCCATTTCAGTTAATTTTTGTCTCCTGTGAGCATTTTCTTTCTTGATATCATTGAGGATTCCTTCAGCAGTCTGAGCTGCCAACCAGTTGTCATCTTCTTTTCTCTTATAGGAAATCATCTGCCCTTGATAAGACAGAATCATTCTTTCCAACTTTTCTTCAAGAGCTTTGGCTTGCTTTCTATAGTTCTCCATCTGGTCAGTGGTATAGTTGATCTTTCTGTCTACTTTAGAAAGCTTCTCTTCATTCTCTGACTGGTAATTTTCCTCTACAATTAATTTTTTGTAAAGCCTCATTGCAGTTTCTTCATGTAATTCAGTCATTACTTTAAGTTGCTGTTGAAGCTTCTGATTCTCACTTTCAAAATGTGTGTTTTCTGACTGTAAAGATGCTTGTTCAGACTGAAGATGTTCAATATGGTCTCTAAGATCTTTCTTTGTTTTATTAATTTTGGATATCTGAATATAAATTTGGTTTCTTTCTTCTTCTAAAGTTGTTAAAGAAGTACGTAACTTAGCAGCATGAATCAGTTTCTTCAAAGCTCCTTTTGGAGTATCATCTAAGTAGGCACCATTTTCCAATTCATTGTTCATTTCCAATTTCAAGTTACAATCATCTGTTCTGTCTTCTCCAAGCATAGCAGCCCAATCTTTTATCTTCAGCAAGTGTTCAGAGTCTTGATGTGATCATCTTTATCAATTAGAATTTGTTCTGTGTGCACGTTGGAGTCTTCAAATGATATTTTCTGTTGATTAAGTTCACTCACGTGTTCTTTCCATACTGCAGCTTCTTGCAAAAGCTGTTTATGGCTTTCCTGAAGTTGAGAATTTTCATTCAAAGCATCTTTTATTACTGTCTTCAGTTGTTCTCCATTCATTTGAAATACGCTGAAAGTCATTTTGGCTTCAGCTATTTGTAATTTGAGGGATGTTGAGTGATCTTCTAGTGAGTGTATCATTTTTGAAATATCCGCCATCAAATTATCTCGTCCAGTATGTTTAGATCTCTCTTCCTTTAACTCTTTTTGTAGATAGAATATTTCATCCTCAATTTCAGAAATGGATCTGTTAAGCTTTTCACAGGTTGCCTCCAAACTTTGTGCTTCTGCTGCCTACTTCTCAAAGCTGTCATCCTCTAAAGATGACTCTAATTCATAGTCTTCATACTCTTTTTGAACACGCCTAGATTTTTCAAGCAGTTTACATTTTTTTTCAATTAGTTCACAAAGCACTACAGCAAGATTTTTCTCTCTTCCCACATAAAGCCAACTCCTAACTGATCTGATACTTCTCCACAAAAAAAGGGGAATAGCAAAAAATCCAATAACACCTGCCCATATTACTAATTCCCATGGAAAACCATTAGAATTTGATGCCATACTTTTTAGCAGTGCTGACCCAATCCTGGGTAGCTCTTCCAAGACAAGGCCCAGGTACAACTGAGGGGTAGCTCTGGGCTCCTCCACAGCACCAAGGCTGTTTTGGTGGTGGTCACCGCAGCAACCCCAGCCTGTTGGGGTCACAATAAGAACCTGGAACACATAGCCTTCAGTTTGGAACCGGAGCAGACCACTGCGGAGCCGGCTGCAGGGGGAGCTGGGGGACCCAGGAGGTGGGGAGCACTGGAGAACAGGTAGCCTTCAGTCTGGAGCCTGAATCCATACACGGCAACCAGAGAAGACCACCGCGGAGTCAGCTGCGGGGGGAGCTGGGGAATGTGGTCACCCACAGGCCTCACAGGCCCACGCTGCCCACCCTGACCCCCTTGTTACACTTTACATCCTGAGGCAGTGCAGGTCCCGGCCAGACCCCCATTTAACTGTTTTATATTGGCAATATCACATTGTGTTAATTACTTTAGCTTGTTAATAATAAAAACCTTTGTCAAGGAGAGACTGCAAATTTGTATTTCTTCAAAATTGCCTTGGCCATTATTGGCACTTTGCTCTTCCATGTGAATTCTACTATCAACATATAAAGTTCCATTTAAAAAAGTCATTTTAGCTGTTTTTTGTTTGTTTTAGAAACAGGGTCTTACTCTGTCACCCAGGCTAGAGTGCAGTGGTGCAATCATGGCTCACTACAGCCTCAAAACCCTGGACTCAAGAGATCCTCCCACCTCAGCCTTCCAAGTAGCTAGGACTACAGTTGTGTGTCACCACACAGATATTTTGGCATTTTGAATTGCATTATATTTACAGGCATTTTGGGACAAATTTCCATAGCCATTGAAATTGACTTTTTGCATCATGAAAGTAACATTTTCTCCCTTTAAGATTATCTTTTATGTCTTTCACAAACATTTTGTAATTTTCTGTTAATGTTTCGCTGTTTTGTGCACACCTTGTTTTATTACTAGTTTAAGAGTAGCTTTTTAAAAATCATATTCTCTCTTTATTATTATTATTATTATTATTATTATCATTATTTTGGACAGAGTCTTGCTTCGCCACCCAGGCTGGAGTATGGTGGTACTATCTTGGCTCACTGCAACTGCAGCCTGTGGCTCCCAGTTTAACTGATTCTCATGTCTCAGCCTCCTGAGTAGCTGGGATTACAGGCATGCACCAACATGCCTGGCTCATTTTTGTATTTTTAGTAAAGACAGGGTTTTCCCATTTTGGCCAGGCTGGTCTCGAACTCCTGGCCTCAAGTGATCCATCCACCTCAGCTCCCCAGAGTGCCAGGGTTACAGGTGTGAGCCACCACTCTCAGCCTAATCACATTTCTTAATTGGTCATTGAATGTAGAAACACCATTTGAATCAATATTAAGCAATGTTTGCTTTTTAAAAAAATATCTATGACTGTTTTGTTAAAACAAAACATCAGAATGCATCATACAAAATAAGCATATTGTTTGATAAAACTGAAACAACAATTACAAAGTAAAATGTAAAATTCATTATCTTGAATTACAGGCATTTGAAGCCCACTATTCTAAGTTTAAAACTGTTACATTTCTTAAGCCATTACTTTAGACTTTTTTCTATTAGTGAGAATATATAGATATACTGTTACTGCCTTTATATTTCTAAAACGATCATCATTTCCCTCCATCCTTAATAATTCAGTCAGTTATAGAATTATATATTTCTTTAGTAATCTGAAGAGTTTACTCTTGTTGCTAATGAGGAGTCTAATTAAATACCATTGTCTTCCCTTTGTAGATAGTGTCTACTACTTCTGGTAGCATCTTAAGGTTTTCCCTTTTTCATGAGGCTCTGCAGTTTTACTTTGGTAGCTGACTTAATCTTGCTGTTATCAACACTTAACAGCTAATTTCCCATCTAGAGGCATTTCTTTCTTCATTTCTAGTAAACTGTCATTATCACTTTGAGTGTTACTTTTCTACCATCTTTCTCTTTTTGGCCATTTGTCAACATTTATTAGCTAAAATCCTATGAAATCTATTAGTTTATTTTCCAACTTTCACAAGTGTTGTCATGTTTTTTATATCTTATTGTCTCTAACTTATTAATTTCTTATTAATGAATTAGCATCATATTTATGCATTCTCACTTTCATAATTTTATGAATTGAGATTTCTTTTTAATTTTAATTATATTGACCAAATTTGTCATTTCCAAGATATTTAATTGTTTTAATTTTAATACATTTTTTTCTTACATATGTAATTTTGGCTTCTTGGAAGTTTCTATTTCTTGTTCTTTTCCATTTTTTTCCCCATTTGGCTCTTTGATAAACCTAAAGTAAATATTGTTCAGATTCTTCTTTCATTTTCATTTTCATTTATCTTCTGCTTGGTGGGGATTTTTAAGCTGCCTTTTTTAAGAATCCATGTGCTGTGGAAATTGAATTTTCACATTTTAAGGGGTGATTTTTTAACCTCTTTTTCAGTACTCACTTCTCTCTGCTGGGTGGTTTGGTAGTGGACTTCATTGAACCTCTGCTCCTTAAACTGCGGCCTTCTCTTTCATAATTCATTTGAGTTTTTGCTCCACGGAGCATATGAGAGCTTGCAGTCAATAACTTGCAAGGAACTCGCTCAGAGCTGATCTGTGGTCTCTAAGCTTTTAGGGATAGTCACTTTCTACAAGTCATTAGCCTAGCAGCAGATGGCCCAGCTTTACTTCAGCCTAGTTTCCCTGTGGGGCAGCTTTCCCCAGTCCTTGGGGAAGAACCTGAGTAAGTTCTCTTTAGGCCCCATCTCTCTGTAGCATCTAAGTAGCCGGGAGCAGAATTGTTTCTCTCATTTTCTCTACTTTTTATTTCTGTTCTGTTTATCACTCAAAGAAAAGTCTATCGTGGTTTTTTGAGATTAGCTATCTCTATTTAATTTTCATTTTAAAATATATTTGATAAATCATTACTGTGGTTTTAAAGTCAGAGATGGCCTGAAAGTGTAGATTTTTAATTGGGTCTTGGACAGAGATCTTCACTCTTCATAGGAAAAGTGAACTATTGTATTTTGTCCTTTTTATACTGTGAATTTCCAAAGGCTAGAAGATATTAAATTTGGAAAACTATATGTCCTTTTGTTACATCTCTAAGTAGTTAGCCAGAGGTTAAAAAGAGGTTAAAAAATCACCCCTTAAAATTTCCAAAGGCTAGAAGGAAGACATTATCATCCTTATTCACCCACACCTAATAATCTATGACATACTGTAAGCACTCAATAAATATTAATTGTATTTAATGGCTCTTGTCATCTTTTAAACCTGAAGCCAAAAAGTTCATTTGGGAAGTTAAAGAAGAAAGCCTTTATCCTACCCATTTCGGATATTCAGCCATATAAAGGATGAAAGTCTGTGAAGCTGAGAACTCTCTGATATTTTTAATACTTAAATTTTCATGAATCTACTTCTGGCTAACTACTTAGAGATGTAACAAAAGGACATATAGTTTTCCAAATTTAATAAAATGGAATACCAAGACAGAAACACATTTTACGTCTTACTTATATTTATTTATATGTGCCAATAACTGGGTTTTATGAGGGTTTTTGTTTTGTTTTGTTTTGTCTGTTTTCTTTTTTGGTCTGGCAAGTTAAAGTATACATTCACCTAAAAAACTTTCAGAGAGAATTGTAATGGTTAAACAACTGGCAACTTCTTAGCAAGACACGGGTTTGGTAGGGAGGAAGAAAGGTTCACGTAAATTGTCAAGGCAGGTTAATCTTACTTTTTAAGTTTTAGTCAGATCAGACCTCAATGCACTACATTATATCTTTAATTATTGTAATTATTTCTGCTTGTTTACCCTAATTCATATGCTAAAAATAATTTAAGACAAAGATTATTATCTTCAATCAGTGGTTGCCAACCCCTGAGCCACAGACCAGTGCTTGTCCTTGGCCTGTTAAGAACCAGGAGGCACAGCAGGAGGTGAGTAGCAGGTGACTCAGCACTATCACCTGAGCTCCACCTCCTGTCAGAGCAGCAATAGCGTTAGAGTCTCAGGAACCTAAACCCTCTTGTAAACTGTGCTTATGAGAGATCTAGGGCGTGTGCTCCTTTTGAGAATCTAACTAATGCCTGATGATCTGAGGCAGAACAGTTTTATCCCAAAACCATCCCCTGACTTCATCCATGAAAAAATTATATTCTATCAAACTGGTTCTTGTTTAAAAGGTTGAGGACTGCTGCCCTAAATAATCCACAAGTGTGTCACAAATAAGGTAATATAATTTTGTATTAAAATCATGCTTAATTTTATATATTTTTAGATAGCTTTTCTCATAAAATTTTCACCAAAAAAATGTATGGATTGATTTTGCTTCTTGTAGGCGAGGAAATAAACAGTAGCACAGAGGAAGCAAACAGCAAACTGTGATATGAACCCCAGGTTGACCAATGTTTCAAACTCCTGGCCATCATGGTTCACTTCCTTACCTATGTTTCAACACTTCTCTACAGTCAGTAAAGTGTTATTGATTCTACTGGCTTTGATTTTGGATGAGAGGATTAGAATGACTTGGTTGTGTATAGCTTTAATTAAAATGTTTTCAGTTTAATTTACTACAGTTGAAACAGGACCTATAATATGACAAAATTTTCTAGGGCATCTTTGCCTTCAAACATGGCCCTCACAATGCTTACACTTTGTCAAACCTAAACATAACACAGAGTGATCTCATGAAACATAAATCTTACTTTTCATACTCTCTTATATTAAAGTATATACATATATTCATTACAACACTCTCTTATTTTCTTTTATCATCTTATCTTGGATATTTGTACACCAATGTTCATTGCAGCATTACTTTTAATAGTCAAAGTGCAGAAACAAGCCAAGCACCCATAAACAGATAACTGGATAAACAAAATGTGATATGCACGTATAGTGAAGTATTATTCAGCCATAAAAAGAATGAAGTTCCAATATAAGCTATAGCATGGATGAACCTTGAAAACATTACACAAAGTGAAATAAGCCAGGTGCAAAGGACAAATGTATGATGATTCCACTTATATGAAATATCTAGAATTAGCAAATTCATAGAGACAGAAAATATTCATTACCAAGGACCAGGGAAACGGAGAAATGGGGAGCTATTGCCTTAAACAGAGTTTCTATTTGAAATGATGAAAAAGTTTCAGAAATATAGTTTGATGGTTGCAAAATATTGGGAATGTAATAAAAGCTACTGCATTGTACAGCTTAAAATAGGTAAAACCTCAAATATTGTTTTACATATGTGGATATACATGTATATTTATCCCAATTTTAAAAACTGTAATATAATATTCCAAAAAAGATTGAGTGTATACTTTTTGGTGCATTGTATGATGTGTAAACTATACCAAAATAAAATTTCTTTTTTTAAAAAAGCTGCTTATTTTGGCATACCAAGACTTTTAACATCATGTCATTACCTACTTCATCTCACACCAGTTCATTTCCCACTAATATTGCAATCATACTCCATGACTTCTTGTCATGCTTTTATGTCTTTATACTAAAAATGTTCTGAATGCTTAGTCCAGAAGAGTAATTTTCAGTCTTTTTGATCTGAGAATTTTACACTCTTAATCATTGTTCAAGACTCCAGAGTCTGTGTACATGGGTCATGTCTACATCTATT